AATTCCTTGAAGATAATTTTTCCTTGATTTCTATCGAGAGTATTCTTAGGTAACTTCAGTTATCTAAGATGTAATTAACTATAGGGGCTTGCCCCTATAGGAAGCTTTTCCCGAACCCAGCATAATATAAACCCTATTTAATTCCTTATATTAAATAGGGGAATTTGTTGGCCAATATATTGGTTTCACAGACCAAACAGATGTCATAACTTTCTTTAGTTTATTTGATCGAGCCTCACCCTCAATTCTTGTGTTCATCCTTCGGGATAGATACAGGGTTTGAGGTAAAGCGCTCTTTCATTTAAACTATGAAAATTATGTGGTCAGTTTGACTTCATCTTTTTCAAAACTAAATTTTTAAAAAAAAAACGTCCTTCCGAAGCGGGCAACGGGATTTCAACTCCGATGGCCGACAGCTTCTTACGGGCAAAACTCCACACCAAAAATAGTGCCGACATCATCGGAGCTAGTGTGTCAACCTAGATGGTAAGCCCCATACTGCCTTGGACGCTTATAAGGAAGACTGAAGTTTGTTAATAATTTTCTTGGAAGTATGAGATAAAGCAATGTCCCAACCATCATAACAATGACAATGATCCAAAAATACATAGAACTTGCCTGAGATAACCTTCACGGATCCCTAGCCCGGATCCACAAGGTACTCCATTGAAAGGACTATGGCTTTTGATTTGTAGTGTAACTCCACTCACTCCTTTAAGATGAAATATATTTCTAAGGTGTGTTTAAGGAAATGATGATAGGGGCAATATAGCTAGCATCACTCATCTTGCCAACTTATTTAGCCTTCTTAAGCTTGGGCAGCTTGTAATCAGGTTTCTTGAGGAGATTCTTAAAGATCTTACTGATTGCCTTATGCTTGAATGAATGTTGTGTTTCACTAAGGAAGTGTACTATTCCTTAGACATAAGTGAACTTCAAACCTCTGGTTGATGTTGATGCTAAAATGATGGGAGTGGTGTCAGTGAAACCCCTTTAGTTTGAATGTGAATTTGTTACTTTTGTTTATCTATTGCAAATATAATGCCAAATTCCTTTTTGACCACTTTTTATGGTTTATACATCTTCTTAGAGTCAAGAACCAAGGATTGCTTTCAGAGGAACAACAATTGCAAAGCTTCCTTTTAAAGGCTATAAGCTTCATCAAGCATATTCCCAAATGTGTGGGTAATAAACCTTTTAATAATTGACAATACAACACAGTCTTATAGTGATCCCACAGGCTCTTCTCGTTGAAGAACGGACTACTAACTATTCAATTACTGTGATTCATCATATGCCCAATACTCTAGTCTAGGTCTGCCGACTAAATCTCCTCAACTAAGGATTAGAGACTGACAATCAAACTATATTAAATGATTAAAAAGTCTAACTGATCAAATTAGTCCTACCGACTAGAAGCCAATCAAGCTCAACTGACCAAGAATGCTGGGTCAGCTTAGCTCACCGAATCAGCCTTACCAAGCTAAAGGTAAATAAGTTCCGGCGACCGAGCTAGAGAGCGGTCGAGTGATATGCTCATATATATATAATATCAAAAATATCATGTACATTGATACGCCTAAAATATATAGTCTGTTTCTAGACACACTTTTATACTTATTTATTGAGAATTGCACTTTAATGGAAGGTATTTCTGTGTTTTTTTTCAGGTACAGATAAAAAGGAGAAAAATGCTTAAAGGAGTGAAAAATGTCAAATTTAGAGCAAATAGGTGAAAATATGCAAAAAAATTTTGGCGCCTAAGAGCAAGATCCGACGCTTAAGCGCTGGGTAAACAGAGAAGGCTGCGCTTAAGCGCCGGAGGCCCCACGCTTAAGCGCCACTGACAGTTATTGGACGAGTAAATTCGGTTTTTGGCGAATTTTGAAGAGGTTATTGAGGCACCTATTGGCTTAATAGGTGGTTACAACCACCATGGTTACAACCACCATGACCATGAACGAAAATTATTGTGAAATGATGCATCTCTTGGGGAAATACATCGAATCAAGACATATTTTGAAGAGATACCAAGACACCTTTTGGAGAATTATAAAAGAAAGATGATTGAGACTTTGAAAGAGGTCCTAAAAGTACTGGAAAAGTTTTGAAAGTTCAAAAATTGGGGAGTTGGTTGGAGATATTTTTAGGCACCACATATTTATCCTTTTTTTATTTCTAGTTTTATATTGAAAGTGTTGTAAAAGAGAAGGGATTCAAATGAACTTCAAGATTTTGGTGGAGGACTTGAGATAATTTTTTATCTTTTATTTTAGACTACTTTTGGTTTTAATTGAGACTTGTTGTTGGGTTGACAATGATTTTTATTTTTAAACTAAAGTGTGGTTTTGTTTTTTCTATGGATTCTGAGTAGTTTTCTTTATCTTTCTTCTTAAAATGATAAGTAATTAAGTGTTGGATGGAAGTTGTGGAGAGTATTGATCTTTAATGTTGGAAGAAGTTGTGATGATTTAAGTCAAAGTACTTCATTTACTTCTTGATTTGGCCAATCCAGATGTTAAAATTTGTTGTGAAAACATGTAAGAACGGGTTGGTATTGTTTCAATCAACAATTAGAAAGAATAACCTAAGGTTGTATGAATGAGAATGTAGTTCATATGATTGCGTGCAAATAAATGTGGAAATATTCATTCGAGGGTGTAGAGTTAGAGGACTTTAAAGTGACAGGTTAAAGCCCCCAACTTGGTTTATTGTTTTAGGTTCAAATAAGAGATGTTAGCTCCCAGGTGGAGGGAATCGAGGGAACTCTAGAGTTAGAACTAGTATCTTCCATGCCTAGCCGGTCTTCAGAACTATTCAAACTTTAAATTAGTCATTGTTCTTTATAACATCTATAGTAAGGGTAAATAATATTATTGCTCCTATTTGACACAACACAATATGCATACTTCCACAATAGAATTCCTATACTTATTACTGATTAATGATAAAGAGAAAGATATTTTCATATTTAGTGTTTTTCTTCTACAAAAACTCAAGTTATCTTTTTAAGTTTGTACTATTTTTTTCAAAATATTAAAAATACCAAAAATATTTAAACTTTCTTTATCTACGAAAAAGTCTTTAGTTTAAATAATTATCTTTTTAAAAATAGAAAGTTTTCCAAAAAGTGCATTTGCATATCTTCCTTGTGGGTTCGATATTCAGTTCTTAATCAAAAAGTCTTATATTATTTGATAACGATACATATACTTGCGTAGTATCCCAATATAAATTAAAAGTTAAATTCTTATTTTTCTTTATGATCAAATTTTTGATTTTGTTGCGAAATAAGTAAATATAAGTGAAAAATATAATCATAATTATTGTTATAGTGTTGCATAGAAGTAGTTATTGGGGATCATACATCCCCCACTAAAATAAAGTCAAAGATATAATAATATCATTATATTGTTCCCACTCTTTTATAAGTGGAGAGATAATCTATTAGGATATAAAGATAGAAAAACCATATTATTGTTAATTATTGTTCATTCCTCTCACCGTCTCAGCCTCTCTCTCTTTTATTATGCTCTATTTATTGGGATGTGATCCACATATAAATCAGGATTCAACAAGCTAACATTTTTAATAAAAACAAACCCAAGTCTACTAATTTATTTTATTTAATTCTCTTTAAAAATATACATGTACAAAACATATAATTTTTTTGTTTGAGCAAATGCTTATCACATACAAGTACAAAAGCACAAAGAATATAGGGCTACCTTTCAACTTATGAAATTCATGATACCTAAAAAAAGTTTATGGTGGCCAAACAATAAATTGAATTGACTAAAAAAACAAAGAGCAAAAAATTAAATTGAAATGCAATAGCATTCCTCACAAGCTATGTGCTCGACCAAAAAAAAAAAAAGACTTGGTGTCAAACATGCTTTAGTTAGTCTAGAGAGATAAGTGTGTTTAAGCAGGGACTGAGTTGAATAGTAAGGAGTTTGGATAATGCGAGTTTTGTAGGAGAGAGGAGAAGATTAGAGATAATGACAACTGGAGAAAACATTAGGTCAGAACTTTAGATGCAACCGGAGTTCAACAATGGGGCGCAACATATCAAGTGGGCCCCACAAATTTTAACAAAGACCAATCACAGTGTATTGCGGGGGGCCTATTTGACACGTGTCTTTTAATCATTAGACTACGGACGTAAATTACATTCAAAATCCGGATGTAATATTTGCCCTTAGGATTGTGAACACCATATATGAGATATACCATATTATAATTACATGTTGATATTTGCAATTCCCATATATAAAATAAGAATTAATACAAAAGTCAGCGGTGTCTGGTGACTTCCCACACCAATGCAGTACAGTACGCGAATTTACTCATAATTTTTAATAAAAAATAACCAAAGGATAAGTTAAAATACTATTTAAAAAATTTGGCCTTTTTTTTTTATAAATGCATGACTTCTGGATGCCAGGTGGCAGCATGTATAGGGTGGTATCTTCATCGAACGGCCACGGTAACCGCAGTCTCACAAAATCATATCCAATGAAAAGACAAAATTAACCCTAACCATAATCTCACTTGCGGTTACTTGAAATCAAAATTACCGGTTCGCTATAAAAGCAGAAAAAGTTTTGAGCGCAGAGGAGCCCGAGCAGTACTGGCAAGGTAGCAATGGTGGCCGATGCGGAGCTGGTGCAGCGGCTGAGGGATTTTCTACGGTCCTCCGACCTATCGACGACAACAGCGGCGATCGTCAGGCGGAAGCTTGAGGAGGACTTTGGCGTTGATCTGACGGAGAAGAAGGCGTTCATCCGGGAGCAAATCGATCTCTTCCTGGGTGAATTGAACGAGAAGGAAGAGGAGGATGAAGAAGGGGAGGATGTGAAGGTGGAGAAAGAGGAAGGAGGCAGTAGCGGCCAGGAGGAGGAGGAGGAGGAGGTGGAAGAGGACGAGGAGGGGGAGGAGAAAGAGGAGGGTTCCAGTAACAGCAGCGGCAGTAGGAAAAGGAGGTTTGTTTTTCGCTTTTTATTTATTTATTTTCCTTCACGGTGGGGGTTTGGTTTCTTTTATTTAGGTTTTCTATTTTTTAATTATTAGCGGCTGTATATGAGGGGTGAACTCGTTAGGGTTTTGTTTGTTCTCGTGCTAATTTGAATGATGACCGTTTATCTTTCTTACTCGAAAAAAAAAAAAATCAATCTTTTTGTAAGACTAAATATTAGAGTGTACGAGCATTGAATGGCTTTTGTTTACATTTTCAGTATAATGGTTATAACTGCGTTTTTTCTTTTTGATTGGTTTGAAGCAGATAATTTTTTCTCTTGAGGGGAACATTTTAGTTTTCTCTTATATGTGATCGGCTTTTAACTGCTAGCAGAGAGCTGGATGAAACTGGACTACTCTTTAATTCGTTAGGATTCTGGTGATTTCGCCGGTATTCTTTTTGCAATGACTTATGCAGTGGTGATTTTGCCCATATTCTTTTGGCAGTGACTTGTGCTAACAAAATTGAAAACTAACAAAATTGCCCAAATTTTGTTAGTTTCAGCACAAAAGTTTTTATGACAACTAACAAAATTGAAAACTTGAAGGAGCTCATTAGCAGGAGCAATATTATCTTCAATGTCTCAACCATGGATGAAAGTAGCCCGAGCATGATTAATAATAGAGGGGAAGTATTATTGAAGTCTTTTGACTAAAAGTTTGGCAGTTACCTTAAGTACAATATTACAGAGAAAAATGGGTTTGAAGTCATTCAGTGTTCGAGTGTGATGATTTTGGAGGATTAAGCTAATAACATAGTGTTTGATGCGCATAGGAAGCTTAGCATTTTGAAAGAAGTATTGAACTGCCTCTAAGATAGCTCAATCATCAACCACTCATTCACAAAGAATTTCGCATCAAAGCCATATCTACATAGGCATCTCTCTTTTCTAATGCTTATCAGAGATGCTTTAATCAATTTATTAGAAATTGAAACAGATAAGAGATTATAATTATCATTGGAAAAGTGGTGGACAATAAAAAGTCATCAATGTAAATCAAGGGAGATTCAAAGTTATTATTGAGAATAACAAAGAAATGCATGATAACAATGGCAACAATGTCATTTTGATTAGTTAAGCCTTCAGAAGAAGATGAACTTTCCTTAATGAAGTCATGATTTTTCCTGTTTTTAATTTTCTAATAGAGAAACTTGAAGTAATCCTCAACCTTAGATAACTAAGAGCATTGAGCGCATTTGATTCAATTCCTTTAGCATTTGGTGCATTTCATTATGTTTGGGATATAAGGGCCTATTGAAGCAGAGGAGTCTAATGGACTGCCTTTTAAGGAGATCACGCGACATATATTATCTAGATTTAATGGAAGCAATAGAGCTTAAATTGAAGTAGAAGTTATATTCAGAGGGGTTGAGAGCCTTTTTCACATTATCAAGTCTGTTTAGAAAGCAAATAAAGGATCATCCAAGTCCCTCATGTTCCCAGCGGTGGAAACCACCTCTAGGAAGTTAGGGCATATGCTGCAATAGTTTCTGTTAAGGAATCTGAGTAGAAGGTTAGAAAAAGAGGTCGTATAAATAATAATGGCAGAATGACCAGAGGAGAGGGGGGAAAACTTTGAAAGGAGAGCAGTCAAAGTCAATGAATGAAAAAATAATAGTTTGACGGCTGAACCAATTAAAAAGGAGACCTATATTGGTATGCTCAACTAGATCAGCATCGCAAATGCAGTAGTTGCTTAGTTAATTTGCCAGTTGAGACACTTTCCACCAGGTTTTTCCTCTATGAGTGCCATAGAATTAAACTCACTGAAAATTGGTCATGGTGCACTGATAAAGTGAGCATATTCAGTAATTGATTTTAAAAAATCTCTCATTTAATTAGCACTATTTTTGGCATGAATGAAAGCGATGCAAAACTTGGCATATAGGAATCCCCACTCTCAGTTTCAATAATTCTGTGTTTTATCTATCCATCCATATTTCTTTAAATGCCTAATTTTGCATGGAGATGTTTGGGTTTTTAAGTGTATGAATTTGGTTGAAGATATCTAGATTGATATTATGTCTTTTGGAAAGCAAAGCTTGTCCTCTTTCCTCTTGGATCTTTTCTTTCCAAGCTTTTTTAACTTTGCAGAAATTGTAGAACTTTTTAGGTTTGCTCTGATGGCCATTTTTGGAATAGTCAGGGATCTTCTAAGGTGAATTTCCTGCCTGATGTACTTTTCATTCACATGATATTCAATGTTTTCTGTAGCGTTCTTCCTTATAGCTCACTTCTGCACGTTCATGTTTATGTATTGCATCTCTGTTTTTTTTTTTCAAAGTTAAATATTTTTATATTTTAGATAATCCATTCTTTTCCCTGTGCTTGTAAGGACTAATAAATCAGGCCAATTGCTGCAGTCCAAATTAACTGCATTTTAACTTGGTAGTCCTTGAAAAAAAAAAAAACTTTTGTACTATAAAACCAAAGTTGAATCATTGTTTAGAAAAGCTCTATAAAAGGGGAGTTATTGGGTCTTTTACCCCCTAAATATTTGAATTTGCTTTACTACGGCCCCCCTCTTCCCCGTTTAAATATATGGCTTTATCCAAATGGTCATTTCTCATTTTGCCCAAATGGCCCTTTCTGCACACTCAACCTTGTATGTTGTAGTTCAGACAACCCAATAAATTTAATTATTTTTAACACAAAACAAGCCAACTAACATATTTGAAATTAGAAATTATCTTTTTTATATTTAAACATAACACACTTAAAATTTCACTTTACTCGAACACACATGCTCAGACCATTCTAAACGGTCTCAAAATTGTGTTAAGTTTTACAATTTAAACGACAATGGTAATCTATTATTTTAAGATATCTGACTAAAGAAAAGTACAATCACGGCAACTCGATTTCTGCATCTTTTATCTTTTATTTTTTTAGGGCATTTACAAACATACCACCTAATTTCTATATATTTACATATCTAACACCTATTTTTTTGTATTTTACATTTATAACACCCTAATCTTTCATATCACTCGTCCTCGTTTTGCCTCGCTTCGACGCTCCACTTAGGTCGCTCGCCTTTCTAGCACGCCTTCTTAGAACTCCCTCTGCCTGGTCTCTTTTTGAAGCTCTGCTCGGTCTCTTTCTGAAGCTCTGCCCAACCTCTCTATCATACACGCACCCTGAATTCTTTTTGTTGCTGTTAAACTTATAATGATTTATCTTTGAATATTTTTGACTTATAAACTGCTTTATTGGACTACTTATCACGTCAACATACCAAAATTTTAGTCTATTTATACTTCTATGGAGGTTTATCAAGTGATTTCCATCAAGGGGCCGGAATTACATTTTGCTATCTAAATAATGAAGTGTGACAGACATTAAATTTATTAATGCAATAAATTTGCCCCCCCCCCCTCAAAAAAAAAGGCTGGTTCCGCCCATGTATTAAATCCAAGATAAATATGATGTTGAACACCCTCGCGGGCATTTGATGGGTCCCTGTAGCAGCATCATGCTCTCAATTGAATTAATTATTATTATTATTATTATTATTATTATTATTATTATTGCATTTTGTGTTTTCTCTCTATATAATATCATCTTTCCCGCATTATCATTTCCTCTGAAAGTTCTAATTTTGCCTTCAGAAGACGAGAATATGCCAACGATTACAGTATTCTCGTTAATTTCATGTCTCATTTTATTTACTGTGTAAAGTTTAGATATTTGTTTTTACATATTAACACTTCGTTTTCTTGAATGATACCACCTTAGGAGGTCCTTAGAAAAAACTGTACCACCTATTGGTTTTTCCTTTTCATGCTGTCTTGTTTTAAGTAACTTTTTGGCTAACTTTGTTATAGGTTTTATGGCACTAGTTACTGATTTGGAATTTTGAAAAATTGAGTCATTCTAAACATTCCTGTATTTTTTTTTTAATTTTTTCATGTTCAAAATATAAACAATTAGAAATCCTTTAGATGCTAGTATTTTTTTCAACTATTTTCAGTTGCTTGTGGAATCATAATTATTGTTCACTTTTCATCACTATTGAATGTTTATAATGAATAAATCATATCCCATTGATCTGCTAAATTTTTCCGTGCTAGTTTATCCCCAAGTAATCTGTATTATGATATTCTGATAATGGTGATGATAATTTTTTTGCACCCTGTGCCCAAACAATGATATTACACCCTGACAAAACATGCTAGATATTGGTTATATGCTTTATGTTTTTGGTTCTTGGTTGAATGTTGTTGTTATTCTTCACGCTTTATTTTTTTCTTCTGTTCTTGTTAGCAGTTCAAACAAGCTCACTGTGGAAGTTAAGAAAAGGGGTGGTGGATTTACAAAGTTGTGTAGCCTTTCCCCTCTGCTTCAAGAGTTCGTGGGTGCACCTGAGTTGGCAAGAACTGAAGTAATACTGTCAATTCACATATTAAATTTCTTTTCACAGCAGTTAATTCTAATAAAATTTTTTTTCTGTGTTTTAACTTTGCAAGTTGCTTCTTATATTTATTGTTTAAAGGTGGTCAAGAGACTCTGGATCTATATACGTGAAAACAATTTGCAAGATCCAAGCAATAAGAGAAAGATTATATGTGATGAGAGATTGCAAAGCCTTTTCAAGGTCAACATGATTGACATGTTTCAAATGAATAAGGTTCTGGCGAAGCATATACATTCTTTGTCCTCAGAAGATGGTTAGGCCTCGTAATCAGCCTCTTTCCAATATTTGTAGTGGCATGAAGTCCGTTTTATCTCTCTAAAATCCGTAGGTTTTTCATGTGATTATTTTCTTGAATTTGAGTAACTTTACATATTAGTGCTCATCTTAGAAAGTTGCGTTTCTGTGTCTTTCAAAAACTATTCATAATAAAGAAATTCTTCTGCCATGAATTAATGCAATTAAAAGGATTTTGTCTTGCATGACGCTTGGTATGGAATATTTAATTTTATAATTTTTAAATTGTTGATAAATTTTATTCTAGGATTAGTTTGGTATTGTGCTCCTTCCTCGTTTGTCTGAAAGCATTATTGGTTTATGCTTGTCATGCAAAATTGAATTTCTAACTTTGCTAATTTAAGTTCTCACAGTTTTATTCCAATAAAAATAATTGACTCCATGTACTTTTTCATTCATAAATTTAGGCACTTATGAGACCAAACTTTTTACACCATATTTATGTTCTAAAGCCATGATTATTACCAAATATGAGATTAAGTACGGATGAGCCGAGGGGAGAGACGAACGCCATATGAAGCGGATGAAGGTTAGCAACACAGTGAAGCCGTGGTAAGCAGCTGACGAAGTAGAACAAGAAGAAGACAAAGCTGTGAATGAAACAGTTGATGAAGTCAACCCAGGCAGAAGAAGCTGACGAGAGGCGATGTAGTTGAAGGTGAAGTTGACACAATTGAACATAAAGAAGTGACATTGCTGTTGAAGATGAAGCAATTCTGGACGAAAACTATGTGATGGCAACGTCGATGCAGATAAATTCAAACGACACAGACAAAGATGTCGTAGGATGAAAACTGCAACGCAGATGATGCCACCTCGGGATGATGCCCTTTGGATGCAGACAAAGCTGTTAGTGGCCTTGCGAACGACTTCGTTCAAAGCAGACAAAGCCCTAGGGAATGATCCTGAGCCAAAAATGAATGATTCCCTGAGGCTAACGTCGAATTCAAAAGATGCAAACGAGAAATATTTGAAAGAACTCTGATATCATGTGATGGGAAATCATCTGTTCTTCTTATTCCTCAACTAAATGCATATGTTATATATTTATATACACTCCTATCTCTATTCGTTAGATAAATCTCTAATATAAAATTGATTCTGTAATTAGATCTCTAATTAGGTTACCTAATATCAAGTTTCATAATATACAAGCATTATATTTAATACTTTCCATGACACTTCTAAATCAGTGGTTGTACTAAAACATGGAACCAACTGTGTTGAACAGAAATGGAGAACAACCGAGCTAAAGAATACAATGAGATCTGATTTAAGTCAGCTTGCAACCTAAGCGGTGGACCAAAATTGACCAAGGGAATTAAAACATTAGAGATGACATAATATTTTTCATATACTTGTTACATCAACTAAAATAAAAACTATAACAAGTTAAACAATCTTAAAACTCCAAATGACCAAGTGTTTTCCTTTGCTCACATCTTGCACTTTTGATGAGTATACTCCTTCAATTTTTTTTATCAACTTTATTTTTCATTTGTTTATAGTCAATAAGTGATAATCCTACTGTTTCTATTATATATCATTTCACTTTCTATTTTTCCTAGTTTTACCACCTCTGACACATCTAAAAGCAACATTCTCTTTTTGATCCAGCTCATCAATCAGTGAGTTCTTTGTTTCCTAAAACTTGATTTTAGACGTCGTAGTCATTTAATTGTAATTTATATTACTTACCTCGATATTATTGTATTACAACTCACAAGGTATTTTTAAGTAATGTCTCTGTTCTGTTCACCATATTATGATGCGGTTTAAATTCAAGTACCTAGACATGGCCAAGTTGAAAAGGAGCATGGTGCAAAAGTAGCTTGCAACGAGCAGTTAATTTGCTATTTGCTGTTTAAACTAGGTACTAGAAAATCACTGTTTATATTGCCTACCACATTGATTTTGTGCAATCCATGCCCAAAGTATAAGTGTGCTACTTTGGGCTTTAGACTTTTTGCAGACGTTATTTAAGTTGCTTGTTCTTCCATGTGCATCTGAACTTCAGGTGAATTTTTTATCACTGCAATATGCAACATTAGGTTTTGTTGGTACTTGAAATTACTATTTTGATCAATCAATAGAATGCTAAGACATGCTATTTTTCCTTTTTTTTGTGTTTCTAAATTTTGATCGATGCACTTTATGATTGGACATGATATAACTTGTGCTAAAGACAAGTGTTGGAGGAGGTTCATGCTGCAAATTACATGGTACCTCTACCTTCAACATGCTTAACATAATGAGTATTTTTTTTCTTGTGTAATTGATAATTATATTACTACGTTATTCTTATTTAGTTCATAGTATGTTAAATACAACGGACTTGTTTTTTGGCCTTATGGCGCTTTATAAATTATAATTTCTATTTTAGCTAATTTTATTTATTTTTTGCTCTTTTTTAATGGTTTATTTTGTTTCTTGTAGGCTCAGTGAAATCACCCAATGAAAAGCCAAAGAAAAAAGTGAAAGAAGGTAGGCAAATATAATTACCATGCTGTATAACTTGTACAACATAAGCTAACAACATCATGGTTATTAGATGTAGATGCATCACGAAAAGGAAAGAAGCAGAAAGGAGGGAATAAAGGAGGGAATACAGGGTTTCTTGCACCCCTCCCACTCTCAGATGCTTTGACAAAGTTTATTGGTACTGGTGAAGATACATTGCCAAGATCTGATGTTATCAAGAGGATATGGGTTTACATAAAGCAAAATAATCTACAGGTATTTTATTTTAATTTTAATTGTACTGTAGTTCGTTATTCTCTAGAAATGTCAGCAATAAATAATATGGCCATTTGATACTAACAAATGAGTACCCTATAATGGGCATTTTTTTAAAACAAAGAAAATGTAACTGTTATTTAGGTATTAAAATTTGTGATTGGACTAAACTGTTGACTTCATCTTCTTGATAATGATGCATGTCTCAGGGTCTAGGATTCCTATTGCATCTTTAGTGATGCAATGGATGTACATAACACAAAATATAAGGATTTGCAGATTTAAAAGTACTAATTAAAAAAAATCATTCTCTTTAGTTGTAAGTTCAATTTACATGAAAATCAAGCGAAAATAATAATGCATTGATTGATTAATTCAAAATCATTTTTGAATCGTAAAAAAATAACGAGCATTGAATTATTTTAATCAAAATTGAAATATAAGTTCAATTTATAGTGGTTTGTGTCACGATTCGGTCTGGGGTTTAGAATTAATCTAGACGTAAACGGATGGTCAGACGGTAAAAATCAATTCTCTTATATTATATTTATATTACTAACAATTTAACATTCAATTTTTTATGAAAGAGTCACTAAAGAAAACAATTAAAATTAACAAATAAATTTTTGTACATTTCCATTTGTTATTCTCGTCTCCTGGACACATTATCTCATTTTTTATTTATCTTAATCAAAAGCTGAAACCTGAACAAAATGTTAAAACAACATATTGAATTATCTAAATATAACCGAGGAGCAAATAACATTTCTAAACTACAGTAGCTCAAAAACAGAAAATCGATATGCATGCTGGTCTTTTATATTTCTATAAGAAAGCTTATGATATGCTAATTTTTTATATTTTTATGAGAAATCAAAGAATATTGTAATGCATGTATTAATGACTTTTTTTAAATGAAAATACTTAAATATTCTATATGCATTTATTTTAACTTTATTTTTACTTTAAAGCATTAACATTCACATCTTTCTTTTTGAGCATCGTCAAAACAAAGTCTTCTCTGAACATGCACATACAATCATTCATATATAATATCATGACTTGATCTGGGGTTTGAATTTAACCAAGAGTGGTACAAACGAACAGATGATGTAAATTAAAATTTTTATATTTGTCTATAATTTAACAAACGAAAGGGTCACTACAAATTAAATTAAAGCGGTATAATTAAAATTACTTTGATGGTTGTTCGCGCCTTTAACTATTTTCTAATCCATTGTTCTTCTTTTAATAATTTATTTATACATGAAAAGTTAGTTAAAATAACCGTGAGCTAAACGAGTCAGTGAATACTTATACTGCTAAACTACAACAATACAATAAAAAGAAAGAACAATATGCATACCGATCAATTTTCTTTTTAAATCGATATAAACATTTGACATGTTATTAAAAAAGGTTTATATCATTATCATATCAAAATCATTTCATTTGTATACAATGATTACATGAGACATTGTCTAAAAATTATATCAATTAAGATACATCAATATCAATATCCCTTTTCATTTACGTGCACAGGTATATTATTGTTCCCCCACTAGTACTATCAAGGAGTTCTCTCATAGCCAAACATGCACATGCAAGTATATTATAAATCATTTTGTTTACATTCTAAATATTATTTAATATCTTTCTTTTATAACATGCATATATAGTACATAAGTATGATTATGCAAATCATTCAATTTCATTTTTAGATGATCAAATTGAATAATGAGCTCAAATAGTCATATTCTAGTTGCAGTAACAATATATCTTGACTAATGCGAGTGATTTAGAAAAAATAAGATATTATTACCATAAGTTAGAAGTAAAAGTACTCACCTCGATGCCGATTGTTTTGTCTTGACGTCGACTCCTTTAAAGTTAAATGCCTAAAATAAGCACGATATTCTTATTAATTATGTTAAAACAAATTAAATAATTTCTCATTTTTATTTTATCTAATCAATAATATATATATATATATTATTAATATTAATAATAATAATATTATTATTAAATTGCTTTAATAAAAGAAGTTATCCCTCCGCGTTTGATCACCCTCCTCTTATGTTACGCTAGTAGGATAGGGTACGACCGAAGCTCTTCCTTCATTTTTCTCTTCGATTGGGCTCGTCTTGACCTAGTTTTTCACACGCTCTACCCCCTCCCTTTCTTTTTCTTCGGCTCGATTGCACGGGATTACACGTATTCTCTGCGACTTGCTTCTCTTCGACTCCTTTGATCACATCATGACACAAATCGTTTTTCTCTTCTCCTTCGCTCGTTGCTCGGCTCCCAGGTATGTTGGTCTCCCTCTGCATTCCTCACATCCCTTTTATAGGCCAAAGTAACCTTTGGTTTCCCTGATTCCTTGCCTCTTCTTCCTCCCTGATCGACTCTTTGTTCCCTCTTCCTCTCTTAGACTTCTAACTATTCGTTTCATCTTCTTATTTTTGGTTCACCGACTCTTCGCTTCCTATTTCCACTGTTTCTCCTCTGGGGTAACAAAAATTTCTTTCTTAAAATTTATAAACTAACCTTAAGCATATGAACATTAACTATCCATGAGATTAGGGGTCATTCATTAAGATGAAGGTAAAAACTCGATATAAGGCAACTCAACTAATACTTGGAACACAAAGATGCTGAAACATGAAAAAATGCTAGAAAACACCAGACCAATTAGACCTCAACACCATCAACAGCAGTAGGTTCTTCAGGTTCACTAGGAGTAAGGGAATATACTCTAGGTCGAACAAGTTGCCTTGGTTGACCTTGGGTTGTAGCTGAAGCTATAGATTCTGTCATTTTCTGCTCGTCTGCCGACCTCTGTGAAGGAGCTCCTCCTGAATTTTTAAAGCTCTTCTGGCTAAGAGATGCACGATATCTTGCTATATGATTAGGTTGATGCCACCAATAATAAGTGTTAGAGCCCATCAAACATTCGCCTTTATGTTGTCTTCCTTATTTGATACAAGTTACTCTGATACATTGAGTCGTATCTCTGCTGGCTTCACCCGAATTATTCTTGGACTTATTCTCATTGGATCCTTCTGAATGATTTACATGTTCTTTTATAGTCTTCCTCTTGTGCATCTCCTTACGTTTCTGAGTGAGTTGATAGTCAATCTTCACTCTTCTAGCTCGTTCCACCAATGCCGAGTATTCATCGATCCTTAAAGGTACTAATTGTTGCCTGATAGAATTCTTTAATCGCGAAAGAAATCTATCACACTTTTCTTCTGCAATAGCGATCAAAGTCCAAGGGGTTGGTTCACTTTTGGGCATGCTACATTCACTTTGCTCTTCTTTTTCGGATACATTTGGCACGGCGCCAAAACCTTGTTCAGAGATGTTTTTGCCGGTATAGATCCAAATGCTCAAGTGGAATTTGGAGCATTTCAAAAACTTGGAAATACAACTACAAAGAGACGGGTAGTCCAATACAAAATTCCTTTACCATTTTTTGCCTCTATTTTGCATACCTCGATAGTGCAGTAAATTATGTTTTGTACTGCACGACCGTCTTCTCTCATTGTCTCAACTTGATGAACTTGTCCTACCGGATAGAGGTACAAACCACTCTAAAAAGGTCCATGAACTCCTCCCAACTTATCATTGTATTGGGCATGTCCCTTGACATATTCTGATGCTGCCCATGCTGCCACCTTTTGACTTCTCCATCCAGTGCAAACGTCGCTAATGATTACAATGGAGCACATTCCACTGATCATACTTAGATTACCAATTCCTATGATTACAACGGAGACAACTCCGTTAATATAGAAAATTGTTACAAGTATCTATTGCTCATATCGGGCAAGGGCAAGGGCAAGGTTTACTGCCTACCCCTATAGCTAACGCTTACTATATCAAGGGTATGCAAACCAACAAAATTCTTTTTGATGGAATGTGCAGGGTATTCATCCAATACATCACTCCAACAGTTCCCCAATTACATCAAGCCCACTAGCTCTCATCACCGTTTAATAGTTTCCATACCTTTGGCATAGAAGACTAGGTCATTCGTTTCACAACGTTCAATAGTCCCTAGCAAAATGCATTCTTTCTCTACATCATTCCAATAAAAGTTCCCAATGTACTTGATGTAATCTTGCCAAAAGCTGCGATCTATCTTTTACCATTTGTAGATATAACACATTCGGATGTATGGAAACTTTCTTCTATCCTATCTACCTAGTCTTATAAATACTCTGTTGTCTTTGTGGATGATTATTCTTGGTTTTTATGGGTGTATCTCCTTAAAATAAAAATGAAACTGTTGACAAGTTCATTAAGTTCAAAAATCCAGTGAAAAATCAATTCAATACTCACATAAAATCCATTCATTTAGATGGAGGCGGTGAATATCTCAACACATATTTTACTATACTTAAATAATGAGTCATTCATCAAAAATATACTTGTCCCTATAACCCTGAATAGAACAGTGTTTTAAAAAGAAAGTGACAACATATCATAGAAACAGTTCATATTCTTTTAACCAAGGCCTCTCTACCTCTTCTCTTATGGGCATATACTCTTCTCACTGCCTGCTATCTAATTAACAACTTGCCTTAAAAAACAATTCAATTTAAATCTCCCTATGGCGTCTTACACGGCAAATTACCCACATACAAATACCTAAAAGTTTTATGCTGTTAATGCTTTCTTTGGCTCAAGCAATATTCTAAACACATTTTTTTTCGAGCTCAAATAGTGGCATGGCTCATGCTCGACTCAACTCGACTTGTTTACACTCCAACTAACTATAGCAGCTTTCCTATATATATAGAAAAGTGTACAACTTCTGAATGGTATTAGAATACAACAACAACAACAAAGCCTTAATCCCACTACGTGGGGTCGGCTACATGAATCCTTTTTCTCCATTGCGTCCTATTTAGTGTCATATTTTCATGTAGTTCTAGTAAATTAAGATCATTTTTAATACAATAAGCCCAAGTCTTCCTAGGTCTATCTCTGCTTTT